GGGGCCTTGCAACCAACAAGTACCCTTGTGGGTCACACACACACTCAACCGACAAGCACTCAGACAGGCATGCAAACCAGCAGGCACGCACACACACACAGACATGGAACTCACAGCAGAATGCGGGAATTTCAGCAAGGCATTCATTCCAGCGGCAAATCCCAGAAATCAGCAGTGTTCTCAGTCTGTGTTTTTGGCGGGTCATTACAGTAAAAAGTGAGGTTTCTGCCGATGGTTCACGTTCCCCATGGCTGACGAAAGACTGCTAAGTTCACAGAATTTGTGCTTTAAGTCTATGGGCTGGTGTGAGAAGGCATAGCACGACTTAGTTTCGAGAGGTCACGGGGGGGGATTAGTTGGGACAACCTGCGCCCTGCGGTCCCGGACTGATGTAGCACGACCACCGAAGGCGCTCAAATCAAGTTTAGTACCCATCTTTACACGTGAATGCAGTCTGGCTAGTTCCGGTCAGTGAGTGAAATATAGGCTACGTGCTTTCAAAACGCGTCGGGCCCACCTGGCACCTTGCAGACCAGGCATTATTGTAAACAATCTGATCATCAATGGTGCACGAACCATGCTCAGGCACACGGCCGCTGCTAAGTATCCTAACCAGCATCAGTGACCAGAACTATCTGCTGTCTATCCCATTCACTGTCTAAGACTTGGGGTGCGGGGTGAATCATAAGGGAGAACGAGATCCTTGTGATGAAGTTCCGATCCTACAAAGATAAGAAGAAGGATGGGAAGAATAGGCATGTCAAGACATGGATCTGTATGGGCAAGCACTGAGGGAGCAAGCAGTTTGGATGGTCAAAGAAGAAAAATACATTGACTATGTGATCTATTTCTACGACTCTGCTGGCGTGTCGCACAGCACAGGCTCGATGCTAGAGATGATGCTCAAGTGACTTATTATCCCAACAACGCTGGAACAACATTCAACAGCATTCAACAACACTCGATCAACAATATTCAATCAATATTCAGTCAGTATTCAGTCCTCGATCAATATTCAATCGTCATAGTTACTCGAAACTCTCCGTCTGAACCAATCAGCAATCGATCACTCTTTTCTACCTCTTCAGATATCTAGGCATTACTCTCACATAGGGGCGGAGAGATCAATCCCAACAACCAGCATCAGCACATGAGTGCAATCCAGCCATTCCCAGTTCAGCAAACAGTCCTGTCCAGTCTCAACACGATCACTTCCAATGATGCTTTTCGATACCAATATGTCAATGCTGTTGGTTTCAGAAAGGGAGGCTTGTCAGTCTTTGTCGTTCTCACCCAATTCGCAAGCGGCACCATCCATGACCTGAGACCCTATGTGAAGAAAGGCAGAGAGAATCGTGAACATTTCGACTCAGTCTGGATCACGGCTGCTGGGTACCTTGAGAAGCAAGAGAGGGAGCTTGATGAGAGTGGTGTCAAGCTGATTCGCAGCTTTGGACCGAAGCTCTACACTGACTACCCCAAGCCCTCGGTTCCCTTCATTCTCACGGATGGCTCTTGTTGGGGTGAACTGGTAGACCTGGCAAAGAGGTACATTTCCCCTGCAGTGATTGATTACGAGGCAGTGACCGAACCCTCAGACTTCCTGCATCTCAGACGAGGGATCTTCTCTCAACCATATCTTCCAGCTCTATGGGAGGAGTTTTGTGCTATGGTTGACTTCCGCATCATGGGACTTGGATGGGAGTGTTCAGAGCTTGCAGGTTTCAGGTGGCTCTACATCCAGAGGCCACAACCTCAGGAAGTACATAGGCGTGGCTCAAGACACAGAAAACGCCCAACCAAATGAGAGATCAACGATGAGACTTTAGAGGGATGAGTGAGGACTCCTAACGTGTGCTGGCCATGCCTATCTATCTGTACTTTCTAAGACTGTTATGAGTTCCCATTCTTCCCTCACTTATCCTTGTCTTTCCTCAAGTCAGTCAGTTTTGCGTCGTCTATTCTGCCTTTGTTTGGTGATCATGTTTTCTGATGTATCCTATCACAGTTCTCAAAATTAGAAAATCGGCGAAGACCACAATTGAAGGGTCTCGCTCGAAGCCAGACGCACACAACAGGAAGGGATTTGCTTTAATTAATTTATTTTATTTATTGCAAACATGATCCAGAATCTTGCCTGAGAGCCTGTTGGCTTTCTGATCGCCTGAAGAGGCCCGACTAAAAAAAGTGTGACAGCGCACGTGCATGAGACCTCCATTCCCGACACCCCCCCCCGATACCCACACCTGACTTTCCCCCACCCAGCCCAGTTGCGCCCCGATCCCCAACCCCCCCCTCGATCCTGATCTCCCCCCCCTGGCCGATCTCAATCCCTGTCTCTTATACACATCTAGATGTGTATAAGAGACAGGTATCTCGAGAGTCTGAAACTCCTCTTTTTGTCCTTCTTACTCTTAAGTCCAAATCCTCTTATGAGAGGAAGGCGGCAGGCGGGATTGCAACCCGTAGGACTGCAGCAAGACTCTGTGGGGAGTCCACCCACCGATTGCGGGAACTCTGCCGGAACCTAAGCGAGGTTCTGGAGGCAGAGAACTGACAGGTATATCTTTCTCTATCTATATGCCCCCGCTATACCCCTATTTGACTATCCCCCTCTAATTTTGATTGATTGTATGAATGTGATCCCCTATGATTTTGCTGTCTTTAAGGATTTAATCAGACTAAATGGAAAGAATGTGTGTGAAAAGCTTAAGTTTCTCTTTGTTTTGACTGAAAGCATACCGAGGGATGAACTAGGGAATATTATGCTGTCTTTAGTTGCTCGCCACATGCTAAAGCTATAGCAGTTAGTTTCAATTCCTGCATTTTCTGAGCTAACTTTTTTTTACTTAGGTCCATAAACTGACTTTTTTTTACATAGGTCAATTTCTGCATTTTATGGGATCATTCGTTATACTTGGTCTTGAATAAATCTTCGCAAGCCACTTTCTCTACGAGAAGCGCTGCCGAAATTTCTACAAAACCAAGGAGTTAAGTCAGATTTTGTCTTTTCTAAGTTCAGCTTATCTAACTTTTATATATATGGCCCAGTAAAAATCTGGAAAGTCTCCTTTTCTAAAGGGAGCGATGCCCAAATTTTTGCTAATTCAGGAAGTTGGACAAAATTGAACCTTGAGAAGTCGAAGTCACTTTGGATTCTAAACTTAGCTTTGTATAAATCTTGGATTAACACTTTTCTAAAGGGAGTGCTGCCGAAATTTTTACAAATCTAGGGAGTTGGTTAAATTTTGTCTTAGTTGAACTCAGGTTTTGCTTTGGGTTCATATATGACCTAGTAAAAATCAGGATAGTCTTTTCTAAAGGGAGTGCTGCCCAAATTTTTACTAATTCAGAGAGTTAGACAAAGTTTGACTTTCCAGAATTAGAGATTGTTTTTGTTATTACCACGGTTGTCACGCGGGGATCCCCGGGGCCCAAGCCGGGGTAGGGGTTTCACCCCCGGACCCCCGCCGCGGGGCTACCCGATCCCCGCCCCCGNCCCCACCCTGCCGCTCCCTTCCCCCACCTACCTTTCTCCTCCGCGCACGTGCACGTTGGAACCATTCACAAGAGTGGCACATTTGTTAGAAGATAACGGATGTCCTACGATGAGCGCACGGAGAACATAAGTCTCGTTTGGCGCATAAGGGCAAAAGCTCATTCGATTTTGATCTCCACTACGAATACAATCTGTGAGAGTGTGGCCTACCGATCCTTCACCATTTCAACACTTCAAGCTAGAGGGGCCAGAAAAGTTGCCACACGGATAACTGGTTCTTGGCCGCCTTCATCATCAGCAACAGCAGCAGCATAATCGTCCTCGTCATTACCGACATCATCATTGCATTGGATCATCATATCATCAATTTGTGCATTCAAACTCGCGACCCCGTAGCTCCATCGGGGGAACGATCGAGAAGAACCTTTAGGGGTGACTAGAAGACCTTCCTCAACTAGGAGGAAGGACATTCATTGCTCCCCGCCGACTAGGGGCGCAATATCGTTCATCTTTCCCTTTTTACTTATTCCCTCCCTTCTTCTCGTCGATCTCTCCCAAAGTTTTAATCTTTTTCCTCTTCTATTTCCTAATTTTCCTTTCCATTTCCCCTTTCCTCCTCTCCCATCCTATAAAATTGGTAGCATCATCTAAAATTCCTAACGTGCATGCCGCGTATATCCTCTTTTTGTGCTTGTCTCACAACGTCGTCCATCCCGTTGCGAGGAACATCGACCCTGTTCAATAAAATTAGTCTTCATTCCCTCTTCTTCCAACGCCGTGAAAGGAATTAATTCCGACGTTTTTGTTCAAAAGTTACGTGAAATTCTTTAGTACATCATTTTTTCGTAAATTAGTTTAAAATTTAATTTTACTTCAAAAATTAGTGAAATAAAACTTGGAATTTACTAAATTTAATCCCTCTGACGTCCACTTACTTCTACTTTCTATCCCTCATAAAATTCCAAAATTATGCAATTGTTTTTTAATTCTTTTAGAGTTCTTTTGGAAATACTTTGAAATTCTTCTTAATTTTACAACATGTCAATACAATTTATTAATTTCATCTAAATATTTTTTAAATTCCTCCCAATTCAATGTACTTGATTGTTATTTTCTATTTTTATTGCAAATCACTTTTGAAATTTTTTTAATTCCAAAAATACATCAAGAAATTTTCCATTTTAATTCAAAGTTCTCCTCTTCACTCATCTCTACCTCTTCTAGTATCTCCGCGAACTTTCAAAGATTTTTACGAATATTTTTGCAATCCATTGAATTTTGCTTAAATTTTCTTTAAATTGAGAATTTACTTCCAAATAATTTTGGAATTTTATTTTGAATTCGTGATTGTCTTATACATGCTCTTATACCCCACACCATTCTTTGAAAATTTTTTCCCCTTTCCTTGCTCCAACTGGAAATTTCCCCCTTCCTCCCTCAATCCGATTTCGAATTTTCTTGATTTAATTCTGGAAGTTTGCTACATCTCATTTCTACACACCTTCCTTTCTTGGCCCCCCTTTTTGCGTGCTAATTTGGCTCCCAGCAGCGCGTACTCAAAATCGCGCCCGAGACGCCACACACCGGCTCGCTCACTTTGACGCATTGATCGTTGCCACTTAGCTCCCCCCCCCCCTCCCCCGCGTCCCAGTTCCCCCTCTTCATCTTCTTTATCCCCTGACTCTACGCAAAGTGCTGCATTCGCAAGTTTCTCCTGCTCCATCGGTGAAGGCCTTGCGTTCCTAGCTCGCAACACCATGTCTAACTCGGCGGAGATCCCCACCCTTGCGGCCGCCAGTTCGGGCCCTGGCACCCAGTCGGACCCTGTACTGGCCATCCTCCAACACATACAGCCACATCCGAGGCCAAATTCACGCCCATGCAAACCAATTTCAATACTTTGTCGGACCAAACGTCACAGATGGAGTCGCCCCCCTCCTCTTCCTCCCCCCTCCTCTTCCTCCCCACATGCTCCAAGTGGATCACACCTCCCCTCTCCCCAATTTGGTCACTAGGCGTGCTCTACTCACGACCCGCTACAATGCTTCTCTTGTCACGGCCGAGGATATCATCGACTTCTCGGACCTCGAGTGCGTTAAGGTCCACCAGGAACGTCTCCGCCTCAGAGAGCATGCTCTATCTACGATGTCTCAACGCCTACACAATCTCGATCGCACCTTACCGATTATTCCAGTGCGCCTCGAGACCTCTACTAGAGTGTATCCCGCACTATGGGACTCTGGCTCTACTGGATTCATCCTCACGTAGTCAAGGAGGCATCTCTATATACATCCCCCTACCCTTCCACCGTCACTGTCACGCTTGGCGACAATCAGGCCAAATCCTTCATCAACTGTGTGGTGCCTGATCTCCTATTCTCCTTCCCCTTGCAGATGCCCCATAATCTTCACAAGGCCCCTCGGTTCCATGACCAGTGGACCTCCGACGTCATGGAAACCCTATACGACCTTGCTCTTGGCACCGCCTACTCCGATCAGTTCGCCCATTCTGGTCCCGATTGGACCAACAACGATCTCCTCCTCTATGCCAAGGATGGGAAGCAATACCGTATTCCGTTGTTGGGCAAATCGGACTTTACGTCCCCCTCTCCTATCAATGTCGCCATCTTGACACCCACTCAGTTCCACCACATCCTTCGTAAGCCTGATGTCAAACTCTACATTGTCGACATCACGGATCTCCTTGTCTGTAACTCCATGCAGTAGGTCGCTGAGTTGGTCAAGCTCGACCCACCACTCCCCGAACCCCCCGAGCCTTCTCATTCTTCAACCTCCTCATCCTCCTCCACCCCTGGTAGCTTATCTCACTTTGTTGCATCTCTAACCAGTGAGACTCCCTCTGTACCTATTCCCACACCGACGCCTTCCACCCTTGCGTCAAACGCCACGACTGCCAAATAATTTGATAACCTTCTTTCTTCCCTGCATTCTAGCATTACTGCCCTCCTTCTCGAGTATCGCGATGTTTCTCCCCCACCTGTCTCTTAGAGCAGCATCCCTCCTATGCGCGATATCCGGCACCACATCCAGCTCGAACCTAACTATTGTATTCAACATCGCGCCTCATTAAACCGAGTACGTCCCCATGGAATGCACATATCCTCTTCGATCGCAAGAAGGACGACACCCTCCGCCTCTGCCTCGACTACTGCGGTCTCAACGACTATACGGTGACCTACGCCCCCTGCGGATGATCTGTTCGACTGCCTCTTCGGCCACCACTTTTTCACGAAGATCGATCTTCGTAACGGATATCACCAGATCCCCGTAGTCGAGGAGGACCAGCCTAAGACCGCTTTCCGTTCTCGTTTTGGGCACTACGAGTTTAACGTCTCCGTAATGCCCATGCCACCTTCTAGACGGCTATGAACACGATGTTCCAAGACATTCTTGAGGACTCTGTTCTAGTCTAGATTGACGACATCGTAGTCTACAGTTGTCCCAGCAGCATCGCATCCACCTTTGCACTGTCCTCCGCGGATTACGTGACCATGGATTCTATGCAAAGCTCTCCAAATGCTGCTTTGCTCAACCCAAAGTCAACTTCCTTGGGCATCAGGTCTCCGAGCACGGACTCCATATGGACGACTCGAAGGTTCAAGCCATTATCAACAGACCCACTCCTACCTCTCTTCCCGCGCTACGAAGTTTCCTTGGGTTGACCGACTACTATGGTTATTTTCCTAAAAACTACGCGAAGTATACAGCCGAGCTTACCCCTCTGACCCGGCGATGTCTACCCTTTCATTGGAACCCAGCTCATGAGGATGCCTTCCGCTCTCTCAAGCAGCTTGTCACGTAAGCTCCCGTTCTACACCTCGCTGAACACTCTCGTCCATTCGTTGTCACCATGGACGCTTCATACTTTGCTATCGGAGCTGTCCTATCTCAGGCCCATCTTTTTCACCCGATTCCATCGAGTCTCGACTCCCATGCATTCCCCAATTCCCTCCTCCACCTCCGGGGACTGCGGCTCACCTCGCACCCATTGAGCCTACTCCTTAAGGAACGCCCCCTCCATATATTCCCGACGTCGCCGACAACGTTACAATCAAGTCTCGCGATGGAGAGAGTCTGGTTGCTTCTCTCTCTCAGCAACTACTTCCCGCAGTGCGTAACTATACTGCTCACGAGCGTGAGGTTCTCACGTTGGTGTACGTTGTTAAGAAGTGGCATCATCATCTGCACGGTTATACCGTCACCGTGCTCACAAACAACTCTGTCCTCGCCGCCTTTCACATGAAGCCTAAACCGACTTCTCGTCAGGCTCGTTGGTGGCGCGATCTTTCCGAGTTCGATTTCACCATCAAGAAGATCTCTGTGGAGAGCAACAGTGTCGCAGATGCCTTATCCCAGAGGCTCTCCGCTATTTCTGTCTCTACTCCCATTATCCATCTTGCTTTCCTCGACAAGTATTGTCGTGCTTACCCCCACTGTTTTGAGTTTCGGTCCATCTACGATGACTTACAAGTTGGCAAGACCGTCCCTAACTTCCAACTCGACCCCTCTGGACTCTTGTATTGGCTTGGACTCGATCATCCTCGTACTCCTCGCTTATGTGTGCCTTCTACCGGCCAGCTCCGTGTTCAGGCGGTCGCTAATAGTCATGATCAGCATGCCGCCGGTCATTTTGGTGTCTACAAGACTCTCGACCGCCTTTACCACCATTACTATTGAAGGCACCGTCGCACCTTCGTCAAGGAGTACGTCCGCACGTGCAAGATCTGCCAAGAGGCCAATATTACCAATTATCCCTCCGGCAGTCTTGTTCGGCCCTTACCCATTCCTACTCAGCATTAAACTTCGGTCTCCAAGGACTTCATGGGTCCTCTTTGTCCCCCTTACCCACGAGGCCCCCGACGCCATCTTCGTTGTTGTCTGGGAAGGCTAACTAATCATGCTCACTTCCTCCCTTACAAGTATGCTAGCTTAGGCAAAGACATCGCCTCACTCTACTTCAACAACATTGCCATTCATCACGGTCTTCCCACGAGCATTATCTCTGATCGCGATCCCCGCTTTACTTGTCACTTCTGGCATGGACTCCACGAGATCTACGGTTCTGAGCTTCGCTTTTCTTCCTCTCATCATCCACAGTCAGACGGACAGACTCAGGTCACCAACAAAACTCTTGGGAATATTCTAAAGAAGTTGACTCTGATTGGGACCTCCATCTCGCCCATGTCGAGATTGGTTATAACCATGCTATTTCACCAGCCACCAGCACATCTCCTTACTACTGTGACTTGGGATATCACCCTCGGGTCCCATCCGATCTCCTTTGTTCATCTCAGATCCATCCCGACACTAAATGCCCTGCCCTTGATGACTGGGTTAAGGAGATGGATGAGATTCTCAACAACGCTTGCAAGAGCATTGCTGACTCCCTGACTCGCATGGCTACTAGCGCCAACCGTTCTCGCATCGACCACCCCTTCAAAGTTGGCGACGAAGTCCTTGTCGACGCACGTCACTTCCAGCCCAAGGCCGGCGCGCGTCGGAAATTCAAACGTCGATATATCGGTCCATGCACTATTCTTACACCCGTCGTACCTAATCATGACTATTCGGTGAGCTTTAAATTGAAGCTCCCCGATTCCATGTATCACGCCAACCTACATGATGTGTTTCATGTATCTCTATTGCGCCCCTTCAGATGGTCTCCCCCTGAGTTCCACGGTCGACCTTACCCTCGTCCCTCTCCCATCATCATTGAGGGTCACGAGGAGTTTGTTGTCTTTGATATCACATCCCGGCGTATGACTGATGGTGACCCTCCCCGCCTCGAGTATCTCGTTCAATGCAAGGGTTACCCTGACGAGGACTCTACTTGGGAGAATCTCGAGCACCTGAAGCAGGCTATGACTTTCTTGCGTGCTTACAATCGTGCTCATCCTTTTCCTTCATCATCTTCCCCTCCTACTTCTCGTCCTTCTATTGACCCATCTACTTCAACGACCACTAACATTTCCCCCCCTCCATCGTGGGTCCTCCCACTACACCAATACCTGCCTCAGGTTCTCCTTCCCCCGTGGATGTGGTGCCGCCTGTTGTTGCAGTTGATTCCTCTCGCCCTCAACGTACTCATCGACTTCCTTCTCGCTATCATGATTGATCTATACCCAGTATACGCTCTCTATGTCTTACACTTATGTCGCAGCTCCTAGTTTCGGCTTCCACATTCGGCTTTTACATTAGACTTCTACCTTAGTGCTTCTCTTCAATACCAGCATACCTATCGTAGTGTTTCGAACTTCTACTTGGTTTCTGCGCTGCTCCTACTTCATCTTGGCTTCTTCGACTCGACCTTAATCTAGAGACTCATCAGTTGGACTTCACTTTTCCGCCACGGAGTTCCCATCATTCCCATCTATCCACCACGCTCGAGTTACCCCCCAGTCGAATGATGACCCCTATTTTCCCTATCCATGCAGGTGTGTTCGTCTTTCGCCGTTCTGCTTTACCCTATACTGCGCGCCCTCCTCCAGAGTGTACGTTTTTCTTTGCTCGCAGCCCTTGGTTATATGTCGGCATAACCTCCCCTATCCTTCCACGCGCTTGTGTGCTCCCTTGTGTGAGTGCACTTTTCCTTTCAGCCGGCGGTGCCCGCTTGATGGTTTCCATTGAACCTGGCGTCGTGCTGTTATTCTCCCCCTGAGCCTGATGATGTTTCATATGCTTGTGTGGGTACCCCCTTTGAGTTTACTCTGAGAGTTGAACTTGCCACCCTCCCACCCATCCCTACCTCCCCCATGCGACTGAGCTCCCTGTCTTCTGTTCGACTATTGTGTACTTGTACAGGGC